TTGAAATAAGTCAGCAAATTCAGCCAAGACCTGCTCCAGTTTGCTGTGGTGCTCATCTAAATCATGCAATAATTGAAGCTGCAATTTCGAACGGGTTTGCTGCCCTTGAAAGACGACTTGTTTCCCATTTGAAGTAAAACTCATTTCAAGTGTAACGAAGTCCCAAAGAATGGGGCCCAATGTTTGTAACCAAATCACCCCTAAAACAATGTCAAAGCCATCTAACGGAATAACAAAGAAGTCAGCTTCAAAGTTTTGGTTATGAATATAGAAGGATACTGATGGGCAAGTTCCTTTGCTGTAAACTTTTTCTCCTTTAGCCACTGATACTTTGGCACTTGTCCCAGGCTGTACTTGCATCCCCAAGTGTTGCGCTGCTGTGTAACTTATGAAATTGTGTGTGCTGCCCGAGTCAACCAGGCTCAACAATGGTTGACCTTTCATGATTGCTAGTAACTGCATTGTTCTTGCGTTCTTCTGTCCCGTGATGGCATATAAGGAAATTTCAGGTTCTTGTGCATCTTTATGGTCAGGTTCTTCATCATCCAGATCAGCAAGTTCCAACCAAAATAGCTTCTTACATTGATGCCCAATCGAATACAATTCGTCACAATTATAACACAATCCCTTTGCCCTTCTCTCTGCCATTTCAGCTCGTGACAACTTCTTTATGAAAGGAGCAGATGAACTTACCAACTTTGGTTCAGTAATACCACCTGGTGCATTGCTGCCCTTTGGAGTTGGAATTGTTGAACTTGTAGTAGTACTGAAATAGCCTTTAGTCCCTTGCCAAGTCTCCCTTCGAGAAGATGTTGCCCGCACTAACTTCTGTTTCTTTTCAAAAGCTCGAGCTATATTCATGGCATGAACCAAATCTGGTGGACTACACATTTCAACATCAAGCCGAATGGAATCGATCAGCCCGGCAGTGAAAAGACTAACTTGCTGGTCAACACGAACACACTTACTGGCCCTAACTAACCGTTCTTGAAATGGGCGCTGATATTCTTCAATTGAGCCTGTTTGCTTAAGGTTAACCAGATCACCTAGTGGATTACTGCCCAGTGGAGGCCCAAACCTGAGAGCACAATATTCTTTGAATTCAGACCAATCAACAGAGGGATACTCTTGTTCCACTTGATGATACCATAATTGTGCCTCACCTAAAAGATGGAATGCTGCCAATCCCACCTTATCTACTTCATTTGTTCTCTGATTGGAGAAGAATTTCTCACAACGGTGTAGCCAAATCAATGGGTCTTCAGATCCGTCAAAAGTAGGAAAATCCAGCTTAGTGTACCTTGGTACTACACTATTTCCTGTCAGCTGATTAGGCCGATTCTCTGGTCTGTAGGGTTGGTTACCTACATTGCTGCTTGCTCCAGCATCAGAATCCTTTCCTTGATTTTTGTTAAACCCAACAATGAACTCCTGCAATTGTAACGATAATTGTTGCAGCTGATTAACCATCCTTGATTCAGATTGTGCCACTGCTTCTGTTATTCGTGCTTCGTTGGCAGCTTGCGCCTCTTGAAGGAGAGCTTGTAACTCTTCACGTTTGCTTGGATCGCCCATAGTGTTTGGCTCTGATACCAAGTTGTTATGGTCACGCAGAATGGATCTTGTCACAGGGCGATTCACTGGAAAGTCTGTGTTGAATAGATCCTTTCCCTTGTTTCTATTCCGTGAGCGACCTATTTTGATAACAACAAATAAGCTCGTTAAAGGGAGCCTATAACCTTAGAACTCGTTAGAGAGAGTCCCAGATCTCTTGTTTTTAATATAATCTTTTTCCCCTTTTCTTTATTCCTTCTGTCTCTTTAAATAGAGTCTTATTACAAAGCTATTAAGCATAACTAGGAGTCTACGGATATAAGAAATCTACTAAATTAAGAATTCTAGTAAAATTAAACTACTGACTATTTAAATACCCACAAATATCTGTCAGGTGCATCTTTATTCCTATCTACTTATCCTCTTTGACGTTGCTATTTTCCTCAACTCGAGGGCCCCGCCTTGCATAAACTTTACCTACGAATGAGTCTATAACACCCATTTTTCGTATCGTTCATTGTAGTGACTGTAGATTGATTTAAGAAATAAGCTGGCAACAAATGACTTTCCGCCACCAGCTCCTCGCCGTGTTGGCCAGTATCATTCCCACTCCACCAGTTCTGACACACAACACAACCACTCTTCCAGAAAACATTTTAGGTAGCTAGACGAGCTTGTATAGAAATACTGTGGAACTCTTGAGAGAAAGAGGATTCGGAATTGGGACTGGGTCTGTTAGACAATTGATGAAAGTGGTAGAAGATGAACAAAGGGGAGTAGGGATAGGGTGGTTCTCTTGACATGTCAACTTTTTCGACGGGTATTTTTCTTATTGGCGACATTTTCCACTTCACATGCATTTAATCCACGCGCTTTGTTTTGTCTATACTCTATAAGCTGTGAAAGATGTATTTAATAGGTGCAGTTTTTGAGGAGTTTATGTGTTCAATAGGTACTAGCTCAAGTCTAGGTGTCTAAATGAAAAAGTCGGGCTTTAAGGAGCCGCTTATGTATTTGGCCAATCCTTTTTATTGTGCCTATTGAGCTATCAAAACGTGAACAACAACAATAACAATAACGACCCAGTAAAATCCCACTAGTGGGGGTTTGAGGAGGGTAGTGTGTACCAGACCTTACCCTTACCCCGAAGGAGTAGAGAGGCTGTTTCCGATGCTATCAAAACGTGAAATGATATCAATTTGACCTTTTTGGGAATTAATGCAGGTATTAATTCAGTTACACTGAGACTTAAAGAGCTGACCTCTTATTGTTGGGATCACTTTGCGCGTCATTGTTTGAAGCGCACTCCTCTGTTGCTTCACCCATGAAGCAAGAACCCCTCGTTGTGCATCACTTGATCGCTTTACGAGCCAAATGGATAGCTTCTTAACATTGTTTCTTTGCTACCTTTGCCTTTTGGGAACAGCCACACTACTGTATCAACTCATTTGCACTTCATTCTAGTCTCTCTCTTGCTGTGTTTATTACCACTACGGGGTTCTTCAACTATTTCATTCATTCCGCCGTTGTTCCCTGCTGCACCTGTGCAAAGGACGGAGTTTAATTAATCTGAGGAATGTATTATTTTTGGCCTGTACCTACTACCTTCATTTATTTCTCTCCATCTCCTCTCAGAGTCACTCGCTAATTCTATTGCAGTTTACTTCTTTGCATTGGGCTCCAATGCTGCTGGCTATTTGAGAAACATAGAAAGCTTTTATCCTCTTACGCCTAGTAAACCCTTCATTGAGCTTAATTTAGCAAATTTTAAATGAATGCCCCTTCAATCCCCCTGCAATCCCCCTGCAATCCCCCTGCAATCCCCCTGCAATCCACATCTACTACTATACTGTCACGTTGGATTCAGGGCCGAAGACTCTAATTTATCTCTCTATTTGGATGGTTTTTAATTGCTTTGTTATCCCCATATTATGTTTGATGAGATGTTTTTGTCACTGCATAAAGTCTATTGGGATATCTTTTATTTTATTGATCATGTTATTCAAATAGTTCTATATTTGCTTTCGAATGGATGTTCAATAAATGGCCACATTGCGGATACCATAAAAAAAAAAAAAAGGGCAGCCCGGTGCACAAAGCATCCTGCATTCACGCAGGTTCGGGGAAGGGCCACACCCCAAGGGGTGTGATGTAGACAACCTACCCTAACACAAGCATTAGTGGCTGCTTCTACGGCTTGAACCCGTGACCTACAAGTTACGGAGACAACTTTACCGTTGCTCCAAGGCTTCCCTTCACTTTGTGGACACCATATCTTTAAGAATTCAATTTGTGTATTTTAAATGCTTAACTGATCGAAAATTGGAGAAACTTTTGTTAATTGGTCTCTGGGGTACTTCACTTGTGAATTGAAAAAGAATTGAACAAACTCTGGATGTGTATTCTGAAGTGTCTGGTACAGGTATGCTCAATTATAATAGCTCTTTTTGATGTATTTAGAAGGTTGAGGTACCATACCACTGTTACATCTGAACAAGAATGGGTATCAACGCTAATGAAAAATCTATGTAATAAAGTTAGGCCCCATTTATGTTTCCATAATATATAAATTATTTGACATATCCTGGCATTAATTTTATTCCTCAGATTGGCTGCTTGGTTGCAGGCACTAATTGCTGATTTTGAAGTGTCAGAAGGGATATATTCTCGGGCAAGAATTAAAGAATCTGATTCGGTGTGCCTATGGCTTGGCGCAAATGTCATGTTGGAGTATTCATGTGAAGAGGTATCTGATTGGTTGTTGAAATGAGGCCCTTTTGTAGCCTTGAGTACTGGGATTTTATAGTGCTAATCGAGAGATATCATTGCATGTTTGATGGAGCAGGCTACCATCCTCCTTAAAAGAAATTTGGAAAATGCAAAAGCCAGCTTAGAAGTTCTGGTTGCGGATTTGCAATTTTTGAGGGATCAAGTGACAATTACTCAGGTCAGTTCTGCTTTAACTCTTATCTTGGACTGTAACTTAGGCAGTGTTTCGCTTGCAATCAATTGTCTCTAAATTCTAGTAATTAGTTTTTAATTACTTCTCACTTATGTTGCATATGCTAGGCAAGAAAATTGATTTGGTTTAAGCCCTCTGCCAAATAAATAATACTTTCTCCTTCCCAATTTATGTGACAGTCTTTCCTTTTTAGTCTGTCCCAAAGAAGAATGTCACCTTTCTTGTATTTAGAAACAATTAACTTCTNGGCAGTGTTTCACTTGCAATCAATTGTCTCGTCTGGTAGTTAGTTTTTAATTACTTCTCACTCATGTTGCATATGCTAGGCAAGAAAATTGATTTGGTTTAAGCCCTCTGCCAAATAAATAATACTTTCTCCGTCCCAATTTATGTGACAGTTTTTCCTTTTTAGTCTGTCCCAAAAAGAATGTCACCTTTCTGTATTTAGAAACAATTAACTTCTCGTCTTGTCCGTGCCTAGTCAAACATTGCCACATAAATTGGGATTGGGATGGAGGGAGTAATAATTTTGCTTTGTGAATACCTGTGCATGTGCGTAATGCTGGAAGCAAGAGCAATTTAAGCACAAGCTTTTAGTAGTTGCTAGTATTGGTTCTTTTGTTTATTCTTCACATCTACATAATTCCAGCCACCAGTTCTTTGCTTATTCTTTAAGCTGCTGTTTCTCAGGTCACGATTGCCCGAGTATACAACTGGGACGTGCATCAACGTAAACTTAGACAAGCTGCCAGTCCAAAAGAATCATGAGAAACATGTATGTTGGTTGATAGAAGTGGCGTGGTGCTCACTTTTGCTGCCAAGAGTACGATTCAGATCTTTCTTGTTCATCATTTTAGGTTGCTTCTTGACTCTCCTCTAGGAGGATCCTGAATTTGTTCAGACTGTCAGTTGTTTGGCTTGTACCAATTTTGTAAGACAGCAAATATTTGTTGGTGAGTTCGTGCATTTACTTGATGGTTAGGATCTAAAATGTAATGATTCAATTGTTGTGAGGATTGTTAAATCATGGTATCACCATGTCTATGTTGTTTCTAACGGATTAGCCTTGTTTGAGCCATTGTACTGCTGTATAATTTAAGCAATACCAGGTCTTTGGAAGATGCTGCCTACCTTAAACTATGAAAGAGCGAGATCTGTTTGAAGATGTATCTGACTGCAGCTTTAGTCTGTAGAATGAGTTGGAGAAAATTCTTAACTGCAATCAGCCTTATTCTCTTTTTGGTATGTATGTATAATTCACCTGAGCAGCATGAAAGTGCCGATGATACAAAAGTACATAGGACTGTCTCTCTTCAACTCGAGGATTAATTGAGTTCATCATTGTGTCAGAAATGACTTACAGTTTTTAAACTGCACCAAAAAGCCAAAAACTGTAAACATCTAAATTTTTATCTTTCCTTCTGAGCATTTAGTGTTTCTTTCTCTCCGAACTTTGCAATGCATACAGAAGGTGGTAGTAAGGCTGCGTAGAATAGACCCTTGTGGTCCGGCCCTTCTCCTGATCCCGCTCATAGTGGGAGCTTAGTGTACCGGGCTGCCCTTTTTATCGGCTTACTAAGTTTTACTCTCGGCAGTTCTTTATAAGCTTCCTCTAAGGGCCCTGCACCGCCCCATGGTACTCCTAAGAGATGAAGGAATAGCTCCAGATTTGATTTTAGCGCTTTCCATTTCTTGAAGACAATATAGAATCAAATGGTTTATTGCCTCAGTTGAATATTCACATATTAATACTATCTACTACAAAATCTAATTCATTTGCAGAATATCCACAGTTAAACATGCTTCACGGATAACAATCCTACCAAAGCAGATGACTTTTACAGGAGCTTTATACTTGTACAAGTGTTTACCACCAAAAGTTTGTAGCAAGAAATGACAGTAAAAAGCATCCATTTTTCCCTTTCCAATTCTGTAAGTAGAAGAACGGCAAAGCTGCCCATTTCCCAATGATCATGGAAGTTTTCCTCAAGCCTATGTGCCTTAGGCCAGACAGAAAGGGGAAGGGGGAGTAATATTCAGATTCAGATTCACAGTATGCGTATGAGGTGCCTTGACATAAAGTTGTTGGTGGCACATACTTGATTCTTGCTGTGACTACAAATGTTGTAATTGTACTCTGTAGCTTTTACTATTGATTGGATACTGAAACAGATGCATTTATGTCCTTGGTTATTGCTGAATATGCCTGGTCTTTGAAATTGTCCAAAGTCATTTTCATTAAAGAAAAAAGCTGCATGGATGATAAGCAAAGCATTGAGACTCTGTTTAGCATGTCGTTTCACTATTTAAATTAATGTTTTATTGTACTAATATAACCTATCTTTCTCCAGTAAGTAAAACAGTATTCTATAGCAGCTGATTCTAATTTGAAGGCTAAAAGATAAATTCTTTGATACCTGTCATTGTTTCTGTTTTTCCTATAATCTAATAGCAGCATGTTATGGTTTGAGTTCACACACTAAGTCAAGATTATGTGGTTTGAGACAGCTTTATTTTAAGTAAGTGTTTTCTGCAACATCAGAAAACCTTGTCTGATGCCATTGGGGGTTTGGTTGGCAATGCTGCCAATGCAGCTGAACTAAAAGTATGTTTGACATTAAAATTTGAGAAATAGAAAGGCGGTTCTTGGCATTTGTGCCCACACATGGAGATGGACCCTATTACCTTCTTTTTATCTTGTACTACTACTACTTGATACTCTTTTTTGACTTACAAGTAGTAACTGTCTATTACTTGGGATGGGACAGTGTGGGAAGGATCTTTGTAGGGCTTCAAAACTCCGCGTTGACAAATTGTATTGTAACATAGACCAACGTAAAAATAGCACGGTATAGCCAGTTTTCGGATTGATTATTCAAAAATAGCCAGCGTTTACGAAGTCAATGAAAAATAGTCACTATTTTGCTGCAACAGAGACCGGTCCAGCATAATATACTGGAGTTCGGTGCACCTGTGTATGAACTCCAGCATATTATGCTGGACCGGTATACTTTGCTGACTCCAGTATAATATACTGGAGACTGGAGCACCGGTGCTCCAAACTCCAGTATATTATACTGGACAATTATACTTGCTGGAACTCCAGTATATTATGCCGGAGTTCTAGTGTACTTATGCTGGAACTCCATCATATTATGCTGGAGTTCCAGCATACTTATCCTGGAACTCCAGTACAATATGCTAGAGTTCAAGCATACTTATGCTGGAACTCTAGTATAATATACTGGCGTATTTTCTAGGTTTTGAGCAGTGTTTTCGCTCAGATTTATCTTTACATGAAAAGTGGCTAAATTTCAATTACTTTTGAAACTGAGCTATTTTTGAACGACCAGTTGTAAATCTGGCTATTTTTGAATTTCTCCCTAGAACAACTTGCTAGGCATCAAACTTGAATATAATATAATACGCTCTGTGGTTTTTCATGATAGTGAATATATATTCTACTGTCGTAATTAGATTTGGTTTTGGTTTTGGTTTTGGTTTTCCTCTTGAAAATTTAGGCACCTAAAGGTATGACCTGACGGTCAATAATATAGGTAAAAATCATGGGAAGACATAGTTTCAAGTTCCAGCAGACACAAAAAATGCTAGGTGTTCTCCCATTTGCTATGTTTTGATTAATTTGCAGAGTTAGTATCACGACCCAAAGCTATAGGTTGCGATGGGCACCCGATACCTTACTCAATCGAGTACCAATATAACATATTATTCTTATCGTACTTTCATTGGCAAATGGGTCAAACGGGTCATCATGGGCTAACGAGAATAAACATAGGGGAATACTCAATATAGGACGACCCAACCTGATATAAAAACTTATACATGTGATATACGGGCCTATAAGCCAACATGATCATTTGTAAACGCAAAACATAGGCCGGCAAGGCCATACAAGCATTCATATACATGACAAGTCTACAAGCCTCTAAGAGTACACACTTAACATAAAGGTTGGGACAGGGCCCCACCATACTAAACAATACACGTGCAAATCATACTGACCAAATAAGCAACTCCGGAGCAAATGGAGCGTACTAACATCTTCCGCTGAGTTGATAGCCTACTTGGAGGACTCTTGACCTATCTATCGGGACCTGTGGGCATGAAACGCAACGTCCCCAGGCAAAAGGGACGTCAGTACGAATAATGTACCGAGTATATAAGGCACATAAATAAGTACATAAAAGACATGGAAGAAATATAGAGTAAATGACTCAACCTGTAAGTATGGATATCTCTGTAAATCATGAAATACTTATAGTATCATGCATATGCGTATGAATATCATGTCGTGCATAGGTACATGTGTTCATAACATCATCAAGCCTCTGAGGGCATCCCATTATATCATCTCGGCCACTGTGGGCAAAATCATCAATGTTTACCAGTTGATCGGGTGGTGTTGTATATATAACGCCGTAACCTTTTTCCATATCCCATATATACATAAATATATGCGTATATAATGTCATCTGGTCATGAGTCAATTTACATGTATAAATGAATTCAATGCATGAGAAGTACATCAATAAAATCTCTTGAAATGTCATAAGACCATTATGCCTTTGATTAATATCATAAAATAAACTTTATTAACTTACGTATTTTCTGAGACCCATGAACAAATGATAGAATAATACGACATATGGGGAACCAAGAACATAAGCATCTCTAGTATTTCTATGAATAGAGTCATTTATGGAAATTGTGCATTTGCTTGTTTCGTTTGTGTCGTATAGATCATGCCAAAAGGAAAGCTATCCCTTATTTCCTTTTGAATCGATTCTCTTGATAATCCCTCTAACACATGTTTTTTTGCGATAACATGTAACGGTGGATCGAAGTAGGAGAAAATTCGTATGATATTCTTTGAGAAAGAATGCACCGTACTCCCTTAAAATCGCAAAATCTCACGCTATATAGTAAAAATGGTCTCTGTACGAAATGTTTTGAAGCAATATGCTGCTATTGTCATCCATGAACTTTGCTGAAGCTTTCCTTGTGATTGTAGAGGTTTAAAATCAATTTAGATATTTTTTTTAAGTTTTTGGGTATGGGTCCCACTTATGTGGTGACTAAGCCACTATTCTTTCTTCATTTGCCTTCTTATAATACAAATTTAAGGGTCATCAAATGGACTTTGACGTGCTGCCACATTGAGAGATTTAACTCCTTATCCAAAATGTCTTAATTTACTCAATTAGTTTGGTTACATAATTAATCTCCCACTAAAAATCCATAATTATCCAATTATCCACATAAGTAAGAATTATATCAAATTACTTAAAATACTACTTATTTTTAACACACTTTATACACCTTACTATCATGGTCATGTAGTACGTTGTATGGTACTAGTCCATGAATACTAGGTGTTATAGCTTGGACCGTATTTTATTCCCAAATTGCCAAACTTCGACGGAACTCGTTTTCTTTGATTCACTTACCCTTTCACCTTCACGAATTAACTTATCACTTGTTTGAAATAGTGTAATACTTATAACCTCAAAATAATCTCATTCCCGAGCTTACGTCGATTAACCTACGACGAAACTTTAACGTATGAAAATGCGGGATGTAATATCTCATTTCTGAGCTTTCATCAATTTACTTATGGCATACTTTCACGTACGAAAATATGGAGTGTAACAGTCAGCTGAGATCGGTGCTGGTGAGAGGTAGCAAATACCCGATAGAAAGTCTAGGTTTGCATAGTTGTAGGAACAGATCTATCATTGAAGTTACGGATTTGGTAGGACACAATAGCTTTTCACCAAACCATATAATTGTGTTAAGAAATTCACTTAAATAATCTATTCAAAACCCAGTAAACAAATTCAAAACTCGTAAATTTAAAATTTTGGATCTTTCTCTATCATGTTGACCAGCCTAGACACCATCATTATAAAAAAGAACAAAAATAGAAAAGTTATGTCACGGAAAAAAAAAAGAAGAAGTTCCACAACAAAGTTGAGAGTTTTCAATTGCTAGTGAAAATATGCCATGACTGCATGTCCTACATATAATTTCTATATTGCTTGGTTTTAAATGTTAAAGGAAACCAATAGTTCTCGTGGAGCACGACAAGGAAATTAAATTCAATATAGTCCCCCGGC